TTCAATACACTTACTCTATGCACTCTTTCATATTTTGGATGACCTTAGAAAGTGAACCTCCCACCATGGCACATTGGGTTTGCTCATACTGCAAGTTTTTTGACAGCATTGTGTTTAATCAGGCAGCTTCCTCCTCTGCAACAGGTCTGTCCTGTTTAACTAAATGTTTTCACCCAGAGCAGCAATAGTGTTTTGCTTAACTGGTGTGTTGGCAGAGATTACCGAAGGTATCTGTCTGGATGCTGATGTGATATGCACTTGGGTCAGCATCTTTAACTTTTACTACATGGCTTTGTTGTTAGCTTGTTTCTTTAAAATACTTGATTGTTAAATTTGCAATCATGAAAAATAAGCTAACTAGCATTGGGCTCCAAAACTGTTTGGGGAGAGGGTTACCCACTTGAAAACAAGCAAGAAGTCTTACAAATATTTGGACTGATTAATTCACCAGCTTTTCTTTACAGAGCTCTATTGTGCTATAAAGCTATTCATTGACCAAGAGAGTACATTGTCCATTTAGTTACTGTTTTGTATCTTGTGTCAAACAAAAGACACTGCCTCCTACAACAGTAACAGCTGAATATTTTCACTGCTCATGCAGTTTCCTCTTCTAGCTGCTGGATCATCAAAAATTCTAATCAACTCTGATCTAACGCAACGTACTACATGGCATTCATCATCTGTTTTAGCCTTTAATGCACCATGCAGGTTTTAATCAAAGGTATGCAACCATTAGCAAAAAGAAAGACAAGAATTATGATGGTGTCCTAAGCAGAGCTCTTAAGCCAACATCACAGGCAGCAGATAAGTTCACCTCCCCCTGCTGAGTGCAAATACAGGAGAATAAGATGGGTCTTTTTTTGAAATAATTGCAGGAGAGCGCCACTGAGGTTTCAGGGCCACGACTTCTGTTGTTTTCTCTCAGTATAACTGCTGAGACTTATTTGCTTGGCTTTCCTGAATATTGAAAACAAATGTTGGCACTGAAGCCTTAGTGTGGGGGGGCTGCTGGATCATCTACTCAGTTCAGCCTATGCCTGTATCTTCTGCTGGTGCCAGAGAGAGCCAAGGGCATTGGCAGTGACTGCAAAAGAACCCAGAGCCTTCCCTGTGGCAGACAGGGCTTTGGGTCTCTCACCTCCTCCTAAGCAAACTCCATTAGTCACCTTTCCTCTCTTCCTTAAATGCAGGAGTGGTGGTGTCACTGTTGGATCCTGGGTAGAATTAGATCCATGTGCTCTTCTTCCTTACTAGCAGCAAACTTATCTCACTTTTTCCGCATTTGGCCTCTATTCCAGCACCCCTTGCTTTCCTGCTTGTTTAACCAGAGATACCCATCCCTAACAGGGTGGCAAGCAGCCCCCTCCTGCCTTTGCCCAACTCATTACTCACAAAACACCAGGGTTTCGTTTGACTGTAAAGATACACATTCTGTATCACGTCAATCAGTTTTTCTTTTCCTCCTGCTTCCCCACCCACACCAGCCCAGTAAATCAAAGCCAAGCAGCAACCAGCCACTAGCATGGTGTCAGACTTTGAGTCCAGATTGGCATGGGGAACAGGCACTGGTCCATACTGCAAAACTGTTTAATTTCTGCCTAACGGAGGAAAGGGTGAAAGTAGTCTTTTTGGGGAGGGGAGCAGCCTGTGGACACAGTAGTGTGATGTTTCTGCCACATGAACTTATGAATGTCACCATGCTGGAAGTGGTTCAGGTGAGGGTGGCAGACCCGACATTCCTTCACGTGTCCTGAGCAATCCTATTGGATTTGAGGGTTCGCTCTCCTAAGAAAACCTCTCTTGTTTTCTCAGCCTTCCCCATTGCCCACTTCTTCCCTGGTTCTGGTATTGGCAGTGTAGTTTCAGGTCCTGGCTCAAGAACAAGCAGCTGTGACCTGTGCCAGCTTGTAGTGTTTCCTTGAAGCCATGATGGGAACAGAGAACGAAGCTACGTATTGCTCTTTGGCTGTGCCCCACCTAGCTGGTGTGGGCAGAGTGGGGAGCTGGCAATTACCCAGGGAGTCACAATTTAACTGAGAGATCTGGAGGCCTCTGGGCTTGTGAATCCATGCAAATGGTGTGTGTGTGTGGAATTCTAACTCAAGCCAGCTGATGTGGGGTATGAGCTTTGTAAATTATGTTGACTTTGGGGTATGCAGGAGAATTTCCCCATGCTGTGGCAAATGTAGAGTACTTTCTGTGGGCTCAAATCCCTCTTATAAGTCATTACCACTAGCTTGAGCTGGCTCTGGTCAGACATTAAAAATCAGCCTTTCTAATGTGTTGTCTGGGGGCCGATTCTGCGCGTGTGCTTTGTTCGATGCGCAGCTGCCAGTGGGGGACAGGGCTCAGTAGGACTCAGTGTGTGCCTGCCTGCATCAGCTCCTGTGTTCAGCCTCCTGCCAGATGGAGGTCCCAGGTGTGCCTGGGCTTTCACACTAGCAGAAACCCTATGTAAATTGCTGGCTTTGATTTCCACATGGCCTTTAATGTGCAACATGTGCGTCTTTTAATGACCACCTCTGGCAAAAGCTTAATTTGGTTGGGGGTGGGAGGAATGGATGATTTAAATCTACCTGTGCTTCCTGTGTCTGGCCTATGCCCAGCTATGCATGGGAGCCAGAGATTTTCCACAGCACTAAACAGTGGGATTATATATCCAATTTCTTACTTAACTAGGCAAAAAATAAACAAGTTTCTGTTGTTTTAACCCAGATAGGTCATTAGCTTTACCCAATTTCCTAGTATTGGTTCATCATTGCAGTTTATTGTTGTGAGTTCCAGAGGTGGATAATCAGCAGCACAGTGTTGTAAGGATCTGGTTCCAGGTCACAGACAAGTAATGAAAAAACAGCAGTCACTGAGGATTTGATTTACACGCTGCAATGACTATGTGATAGCCCCTTTTGCAAGGAAGAAAGTGTCCCTCTGGAGACCTCATTCTAACCAGCAGCAAACATTCGAGCTCCCTGGTGCTTCAGATGTCAATTATACCAAAGCCTCTTATTGTATAATGCAGGTCTGTCATAATAATACTGTCTGAGGCAGCAATAATAATGCTGAATGAATTTTCAAACAGTGGAGATGGGAGGGGGAGGTTGATCAATACAGTACTAATGATGGCCTTGTCTTTCACTGAAATAATTGTGATAGGGTTTATAGCACTTCCTTCCTATAGCATGCTGTGCAGCAGTGCTAGTTTACTACCTGCTGTTATTGCTTTTGTATAAAAAGGTGTTAAAAAGAAATGTCTGTCAAGTTTTAAGGCTGGGAGTCTTAATGCAGCAGGGTTGTTCTACCCAAGATGGTCTGAGGTATGAGAGGTGCAGCACTCGCAGGGAGAAGTGAAATCTTTTCTTGGACATACTGACACGGTGAAGAATAAAGAAGCTTTTGGGCTCAGAGACCTGTAGTAAGGTCCCAATTTTTATAGGGGATTGCTCGTATTTTATTATAAAGGTGCCATTGGAAGGACAGATTTTTTTTTTCAAGTGGACTAATTCTGCTTGCTTGGATATACAAAGGTGTCTGCTTTGAGAGGAAACATGAATTCTTGAACACACAAGGGTACAAAAGAAAAGCTCTCTGACGCTCTAGAAATCTTTTCTATTTATGTGACCCTATTTCTCACTTGATGATTATGGGGTTTTCTCTGTTACTCCACCATGTCTGTAACATGCATATTAAGACCTGCAGGACCTATGACAAGTCATATCCTGGTGTGTTCCTGAATGTTTGGGGAAGAAAACAGAGAAAATCCTGTGAAGCAGGAGGATAACAGTATATTGGAACTTTAATGCTGGAGGGGGGGAGGGTGTTTTTTTGTTTGTTTTGTTGTGTTTGTCTTTGGTTTTTGTGGGTTGTTGGGGGTTTTTTTGTTATATAATAAGTTCTAACATTTTCTGCAGCATTTCAGAGTTACTTCATTTCTCAATATGCTGGAATGATGAATTCCATACTTTTTTTGGTGAAGTGAGAGAAATTGAAAGAAAATATAGCCAGAGTCTAATGATAAAAATCCTCTCTGTTGAAGCTCTTCATTACAGTACTTTTCAGAACAGAAAAGACAAACTGCTTTTGCAGTGGCACAAGTCCAATCTCAAGCTAGAATCAATTGCTTTGCCAACGCTGAACACAAAGGATGTTCATTGTTTGCAAACTGAATTTTTCTTAGTGTGTGCGCACAAAACCAATGATCATATTATTATTTTTTCCTTTAGAGAAACCCCTGCAGTGAAAAAACTGCAGCTGATTCTGTGCTCCTCATCCTGGTTTGCAGGAAGTCTTCTTGCTTCACAGTGTGATTTCTTCATAATAGCTGCATGACAACAATATGCCAATATTTTGAAAAAAACAACATCCAAAGTTATAACGTGGTTGCTTATGTTAGCTACTCACTGCTGGGGTTTGGGTTTTTTATTTTCTTTGAGGAAATAAATTTGCTTTTGTTCATATTGTTTTGTTCATATTGTTTTGTTCATATTGTTTTGTTCATATTGTTTTGAGGCTCACCTTGCTATGTACAACCAACCTTCCTCTATGTCTGTTTCTCCTTCTATGTATATTCATTTTGATAGCAGTAGAGGGACCTTCCCAGGCCTGTCCCTTCCTGCAACAAGTAACTGCATTGTATTATGTTTAGCATCAACCATCTTAAAAATGAGGAAAGGATTTCTTCCCTTGTTATATTTGTGCAATATCTGCCCCAGGGTCACTTTTTCCCCTGAAGCTTATGAACTTTTTTTCTAATATCTAAACATATTTCTGGTTGACTTCTCCCTATTGCTGTGCCAACATTGTTTTTACATTCCTCTTTCCTCCTATCACACACTTTGTCCTTGGTATGTTTGCAGAGAGTAATCACATCCCTTTCCATGTCTTTTGACACTGAGCCAGCATCTGAAAATTTAAGGTCACAATGGGGTGGCAAAAACTCACCCAGACATTCATGTTTAATCCACACAGTGGATATGGCATCTGCCTGGAGTCATCCCGACTCTGACTGCATCATTTTGTCCCTTAGGGACTGAATCCTGACTGAACACCAGTGATGCTAATTTTGTGGAGATCTATTTATTTATTGGCCATATCCCTCCTGCATAGCATTGCCTGGGATTCCCTGACACAGAAAGCAGCTCCATGTAAGAGCACAGGTTCTACATGATCCATGGAAAACAGTCCCACTTGCTGACAGGAGAGTGAGAGTAACCTAGATGCTGCATTGACTTATGTAAGTATGAAAGCTGCCTCATTTGCTTATTTGAATCTCGCCTTTTTACGCAACACCTCCCAGCTGGCTGCTGTTTCTTCAGAAGCCTTTGCAGCTGACAGATATGTTGTAAATTATTCTGTGGTTTCTGGAGGTGTTCAGTATTGGTAATTTAAGCTGTACAGCGTGTTTGTTATTGGTCATGTGGCACAGTTTTTCTTCCCTGAGTGAATGAGCTTAGCAGGTCAAAATTTTCTGTTGAATCCTCACAGGAAGTTATTTGAAAACTTTTTGCAGAATATGCAGAGTTAAAGATTTGCTGGCTCTTGCACATTTGCTCTGGTATAACATGACCACAGAAATGCTGGTGGAAAGCTTAACGGGGGGCTGCGTATATAGTAGCACTAATTTGTTTTAGGGCATCCTACAGAAAATTACTTGCAGTATTCCTGAACAATTATGTCAATATATCAGCATAAAAGCTTCCCTTGACATTTGCTGATATGTATCTCAAGCTGACACACGTCTCTTTTGAGAATATTTGCTAAATATTTAACCCAGGGCTGTAATGAGAATTTCTTTCCTGTGTTATATATTCTCATATATTTTCTGATATCTACTGTTACAGGATATTCCCTGGTTCTCTTCGTAAGATGTTTCACAGTATCAGTTATGACATTTTTCAAGTAAAAGAAGCAGCATGCATTTTGTGAAGCATTCTGCTTTGCCTGTATTTGCAGATTTTTTGCCCTGCTTGTTCACTAATTGGCAGTGCTGAGTAATTTGTAATCTGTCTTCCCACTGAACCAGTGAGTGTTCTGTGTGTGTATGCATATGTTTACAAAGTCTTAGGATTCATCTATGTAGTAACAAGAACCAAAGGAAATAACTGCATTCTAATTAATAATATTTTGATTAAGGTCTATTTGTAAACCCTAGTTTTGATGTAATTTAAGCTGAAAAAAGAAATCACATTTAGCTGTACTAAAATGGCCCTGAAATCTCTGTCTCATGCTAACTACTGATGAAATGTTAAGAGTGTGATTTACAGCTGATTTAATTGGATTGGTTTCATTTACCATCTAAACAAGCCCTCAAATGTTGCAGTGTTTACCACCTGTTGTGACTTGTACCTTACAGAGATTTTTTGTTCACAGGCAGGAGAGTGCACACTGTAATGAGAGAGGAAAAGGAGGGCTATAAATGTTCATCTCAGTTTGTGCGTGCTTGTAAATTTGACCCTGGAAAATTGCGAAGATTTTTCTAGAACTTTTGATAATTTTTAATATGTTGGTGGTGATTTCTTCTAGTTTCTGACAAGTAGTGCATTCACTTCTCATCAGCTGGGATAACAAATGTGGAAAAAGGTTTCTTTGTTGTAGTTGTGTTATATAATGCTAGCTGTTCTGCTGTTTCTATACAGATCCAGGTCTTGTAACAGATGATAAACAATCCTGAAGGATATGAAGGATTTTTTTGACATTTACTTGGGAGTTGGATTTTTGGTGTTGAGTCTTTGCCATAGTCTGAGAGAAAGATACATGGGAGAAATGTCTATACCAGAGAAACCCCATGAGATATTTTGGTGTAACCAGGTAGGACTGTTGACACAAGCAGTCACCCTGCTTTTCTCATAGTCTTCTCTGCAAATTAGAGTTGAGTCTTCCTTTGCTAATCCCGTGCAATAATTCTGTCTTATTTGCCATACTGCAGAACAGATGGGTCAAATTAGATGATCCTTCCCTTCCCTCAATCCAGGTTCCTCCAGAAGCTGGAGCTCTGGATCCTGCTCTGGGCTCCCCAGTGTCCAGCAAAGGGTCATGAAGATGATTAAAGTACTGGAGTATCTGACATTGGGAGAGGATGAGAGAGCTGGAACTGTTTACCCTCGACAAGTGAGAGTCTCGTGGGACAGGCCTTTTCAATGTGCAAAAATACGTGATGAGGCAGTGGTAAAGAAGACAAAACCAAACTCTTCTTGGCAAGGCCCAGTGTAAGAACAAGGGGTAATGAGCACAAACTGAAACACAGAAAACTCTGTGTAAACTTGAAAGACAACTTTTGTTGTATAAAACAGGTTGAATACTGGAACAAGTTGCCTAGAGAGATTGAGGAGCCTCCATCCTTCAGTTACTCAAAACCTTACTGGATCAACCTCTCTAGTTGCCCCTGCTTGGGACACAGATGTAGTATTAGACAATCTCCGGATGGTCCTTCGCACCTCAGCAGTTCCATGAATCCATCATTTTTGTACTGTTGTCTACTTGAGGTAAATTTGATTGTAGACTCTGGTAGATACATGCTTTTATGGGGAAGCTAAACTGAAACAACAACAATGAAAAAACCATTAAACTGAGATAGACAAGGTCACAACACCACCAGTAGACTTGGGGAAATATATGTAAAGAAATGCAGCAATCCAAAAGTAGGAAGTTACCCTCCTTTCTCCAACATGTTTTCCCTACTTGTACCATCTACTTCCTTCCTCTTTGACTCCTGGTAACACTTTACTCTGTCGCTTCTCCTTTTTCATGTTCCACCTTCCACTGCATCTTCTCTCTCTGCAATGTTAAATATAACCAGCCCAGTAGGCTCACCCTTTTCTGCTGGGCCAGCAATCACAATTAAAATGTCCTACATTAGAGTCTGATTCAAGCAGAAAGGGCTACTGGGACATGAGCTCGGTGGCAAAAGCAATGATCAAGGTTTCAAGATTTTCTCATGACCTTGTTGCATTCCTGAGATGCTGAGAAATTGGGTATTTTTAGGCACCAAATTCTGTCATCTTATTCAGACTTTAATTTCCATCTTCAGTCCTTCCATTTTCTCCACTACTTAGCCCCAAATTCCCTGTGTTCTCTAGGATGCCATAATGCAATTACCACATCCTTTATTATTTCCCAGAGTCCTTCAGAATTATGGATCTTTCTGTCTGCATACCACTGCTCAGCTCTTAGCCACCTCCTTATTCCATTCAGAGTCAAGATGTAAAAATGGAACATATTATTTGGGTGGAGGTCTCTGTTGCTCATATGCTGTCACCAGTGAGCATCTCAAATTGCTTCACACATTGGTTTTCACAGCATTCTTCTTCAATTGCTTCCAGCATCTCTGTTTTCAAGCTTTAGTGGATTCAAGATGCCAGATTAAGTCAATAAATGGGTCTCTAAGACACATGTGTTTATTGACTATCATGCACTCCCTCTCATTAAGGTTGTTTGTCATCTTGTACTCAGAATTATTATAATTCATCTATAAGGTGAAGAGTAACCTAGATCATATCTGCCTACCTTGGACATATTCTCTGTTCTCCCAGTCTATCACTCCTCTCCTCTTTCATTCTTTCTAACTCTGATGCATCTAGCATATATTTTCATTTACAATTTATATATATTTTTAATATATTTTTATATAGCTATGTAGTTTAAATTTTATAGTCTCTTTAAAATGTATTATAATTTGTTTTATTCCTCCAGAATGGACCCTCAGAATTTCAAAAAGCCAGGCACAGCTTTCAGGATGTCAAAAGGAGTCTTTAATTGGATGACCCATTTGTGCTTGCAAGTAATCATGCTGATTCTCTGTACAAACATGTACAGAGGTACAAACTCTTCTCATACGTAGAGACTGACAAGCCATTAGTATCATTACTTGGCATTTTTGCTGCTTTTTTGGTGGTACAGAGGCCATTAAGAAAGAAAGAATTCAATTTATAGATAGATTATGAATTCTACTGAAAAATAATCTGTCCATGTCCTCCTAATTCTCCAAATGCTGAAGTTTTGTGCTGTTAGTTGTATATTAAAATAATAGTAATTTTTTTAAAAAGCAAAAGTTTTTGGGGAGAAAGACCATGTTATGTTTGTAAAAGTGTGTATATACTGCTGGCTCTAAGATGTATCTTTCTCTACAAGAATATGTTTACATTTTCATGCTTTTAAAGGTTTTATTAGTATTAGATAGGACATTGTGCCTGGCAGTGTTGTCCCTATTTTGTGAGCCTACTGAATCCTAGAATTGGATTGGAATGTTCTCCAAGCTGATGAGTAGCTTCCCTCTACAGTCAGAGCCCATCATCATGGACTCCCTTTGCAATGAATCTTCTAGAGCCATCCAGAAATAAAAACTATAATAGCTCAATCTCTTACTTGGAGCCTAAAAGCAACTTCTTCTGTCCAGATAATAATGTGGAAGTCTTGGATATACTTTTCACTTTTCCTTTTTGGCAAAGAGGAGGCAGGAAAAGGTGGGATTTTTTTTTCTGATGTTTCTAGAAACAGCAACATTTCTCATTTCATTCGGTAACAGCAAGGATTTATGCTTCTGAAAGTTATACCGTGGGGAAGAGTCCCACTGATTAAATTGAACCTAAATCTGTATTTCTTCCTCTTTGGGTTAGAGTACGCCACCAAAAACTATGGGGAGACTTGTATTGTCTCAGAGACATGCAGGTGGGACATGCAGGTATGAGGGCATTGAAGGTAAAACCTGAAGTGCAAACAAATCTTCGTGATAAAGCTCATTGAAAGAAATTATAAAGATTTTAGATTTACACAGTGTTTTGCATCAGGATGCTGACAGCAATTAGATTTTGCATGCCTACCACTTTATAGCAGATTAATCCATTTTTTCGGTCTTTTGAGTGGAAGGTGTAGTGTATAGACTGAACTGAAATGCTATAATTCTTGGTAGGACTGAAGATCCTGGAGAGACAAGAACAAGATTGTGGTGTGACACAGTATATGTAGTTAGGTACATTTGGCCTTTCCACATGCTTCCTTCTAAAATCCCTTTTGGCTTTTAGTTCTCCTCCACAGGCAACTTGTAAACATTTCAGCAGAGATTACAATGCAGTGAATCTCTTGCAAATTAAATGTGATTGGACCAAGTTAAATTCTGTTTCCAGTACTGTTTTAGATTTAGGACAATTAATTGCAGCAATGATAAAATCAATGGAAGTTGCAGAATAGGAACACTAGAGCAAAGGAATGAACACTATTGCAAATAATGGAGGTAATCATTGCCTGGCAAATGTAGTCAGAATTCTTCTGAACTAGAATCTATCCTGAACTTAAATTGCTTAAATCTTAATTAAATAAACACATTTTGAAATTGCAGGGGAATCTGACTGTTTACATCATCTTTGTAGCCAATTGATTGTAACAGACTTCTTCTTAATAAAAAATATTTTATCTGTCTAAAGGCTTCATCCTTCCTCAAAACTCTTGTAATTCCATTGTTCTTAAAGCTGTTAAATTTTAGCAAAATCAGCATAGGAAAATGAATGAGGTCTGCCAATGGAAAAGTGAGTTAGAAGGAACTGATCTATAGAGAACGCTTTTCTAAGAAGTATCATTTGTCTCATGACTGTTGTCCTCAGCTAGAAAAAGCCAAGCAGCCTACTTAAAATTTTCATTTCTTTCTAAAGTAAAACAGAAATAGCAATAACAACCAATGCTCTCTAAAATGTTTCTATTTGTCAGTCTCATAATTACAGTATCATTATCTGGATTTTATAAAGTGTTTTTGCAGTGCTGAAATTATCTTAAAATCATGAACACACACCTGTGCACAAAGTAGATGACATTATCCAAGGTATATCTATACTTTGTGGGTTTAAATATCAGGTTAAAGCAAACAGGCAAAATACTTCTTGTGAGCATATGCCTCTTCAGATGTCACTATGGTTGCTGATGAATCTTCTGTTGATATCTTTGCTAAAAGTTGCTCCACTGCCAAGTTACACAAAAACATGAAGTCCTACACATGAGATGCAAAAAAGCATTTAGAGGTTTTTGGGAATTTGGATTGCTTTTGTGGTTGAGGTGTTATTTGTTTTTTTTTTGTTTGTTTGTTTGTTTTGTTTTCTGTAGGATAATTTCTGCTGACTCAGTAAAGTTATTGCTCTGGGTCGATGGTGTTGAGAATCTGAAAAATCCTTCTGATGGCTCCACTTTGTTCATTTGTCCCTTCTATCTTCAAATCCATAAGTCACTCATGCTTCTGTTTTGTGAGGAGATTTATGGTTAAGCAGTCTTTCAGGCTTGGAATTTGGCACATTAGACTCCTGTCCACTTGCGTATGGGCAAGAGTAATGAGCTGCCTTTAATACAAGGTGGTCTTCAGACTTTTTAAGGTCTACAAAACAAACCTAAATTGCTTGTTAATTCGAGGGGAGCTGTGGATAGCAAGGCTGTCTGCAATTTTACTGTTTCTTTTACTAGGGCTGGTTGTGGCCAGGTAAAGAAACATTGCTGCTTCAGGAACATATTTAAATCATCTACTCCTTTTTAGAAGCTGCCAGTTGCATAGTCAGTCTTGTGTTTCATGTACATCTAAATGCTTCATTGACTCATGCCAAGAGATGGAAACTAGCCTGCTTGTTTTAATACATTCCTGATGATTTTGATGGAAAATCTAAATGTGTGAAGAACACAAGATCCTGCCCACTAGCAGCCAAAAGGATACCATTTCACATTTGTTACTCTTGGGAATCAGAGGAAAAACAAACAAACCAAAAAACCCCAAACAAACAAACAAACCCCAGACCCAACAAAAAAAGTAAAAACAAGCTCTTGAAATTAGAAATAAACCAAGGAGGAAAAGCTGCAGTTAATGTGAGAACCATGCATCATTGAGATCTTCCAAATTTATGGGATCACAGAAGGGGTCTTGGAAGGTCCTTTTGTCCAGGCTTTCATGGAAGAGGGAGCCTAGATGACATTATCCAGTATCCTGTTCAATCTTCTCACACAGCAAATTTTTCTGGTTCCCCATACCCTGTAAGGGGGAGAGCTAAGTGGTGCTTCCTAGCCTGCTTCATCCCATTGCTGTGTCGGTGGCTTTTGATCTGGTAGTAATTCTTTTTTTATTGCATGTTTTTATATTAGACTCTTCGCTTTTCTTTGTAATTAGACATCGTGATTGTAGTATCCTTTTATATTACACTGGAGTGCTCCTTTAATGCAGAAATCAAATAAACAAAACACTTAAAATACAGGAAAAAAATTACAACAGTAATGCTTGGGTCCGAAGGAGCAAAGAATTGGGAAAAACCAAGTTGCAGTTATTGCTTTTGGCATCAGCAACACAGTTCATATTTTTTATTATCCTCCAAATTAGGTTTATTCATTTATTACAATTCAGTCAATGCATTAAATATAAAACCAATCCAGATTTTTAAAGACAGACACGTGTTGTAGTTAAACAGAACTTTTTTGTTCTTTTTCAAATACTGAAAAACATTTTTCTTCTTAGGGTAAATGTTTTCTGAGGAAAGGGTTATGTGGGGTGAGGAGAGAATACTCAGGGCAGAAGAATAAGTAGTAGAGTATTTAATAGCACAGAGCAGGGCTGTGCTGTTCCTCCGTGGCAGCATCCACACAGTCATCAGCAGTCTAACGCCTTCCCTTTATCTAAGGAACAACACATTTATTCCACGTGGTCCCATCTGGGAGTTTGTTTCAGAACAGTATTACCTTCCTCATGATAAGAATCTCTGCTTGTGAAATTATTTTGGAAAAAGGCCATCTGCTAGGGAAAATAATAATAAAAAAATATGAATCTGTGATTCAGATAATAAAACTTCGATTACTGCTCTCTTAGGAGGATGGATGAGGAAGCAACAGTCCAAGGAGCTGTCCCTGGAACATGTTTTAGAACAAGCTGTTGGGATTGACTGTAATGTCATGCAGAGGCTTGTTGTGTGAGGTACACCACTCAGTTGGCTCCCAGGAATCAGGTCTCCTTCACCAGCCTTGGCTCCAAATGGTTCCTGAACGGGGTATGGGTAGTGAGGAAAGAGATTCCTTCCTGATAAAAGCACAATCAGCTCTTGGTGACATCTAGTGGGTGGGATAATAGGGTGCAATAGAACTGCCCTGAGGAGGCAAGTCCTCAGCTGTTTGTTGCACCCAAGATGGTTCAAACTAAAATGGTTTTACAGTAGTTCAGCAGCTAATACATCAGTGCCCCAACAGAAGCAGTAGTGCAGAGTTGACATTTTATCAGTCAGCTATTAGTCACACCTTCTACAAAATGCCTGATCCCATTCAGCATAGAATTCTAAGTAATAAAAGATTTCAATCCAAGGAAAGCTAAAATCTGAATGAACTCTCATTTTTACATTATTTTAAAAACTGGTTTGATTCTCCCCGTTGCTTAAACAAGTATAAATCAGGAATAACTTTTGGAGTGATTGCATTCCAGAGGAAGGTTAGCAAATAAAATAAATCCTCTACTTTGTTGGAGACCTGGGTGGAGGAGGACAATCATTTTGGTAAGTGCTGTGTTTGAAAGTGCACAGAAGATGAGATACACCAGCTGTGTTAAAACAAGCCATTTTCATCTCACACATACACCCTGCAATTCTACTTTTTAATTTCTAGGCAATCACACTGCTGGAATCTTTTCCAGCCATTGAGTAAAATATATGTTTGTCTTGCAATTATGTAAATAAGGTAAGTGGTTAAGATTTAGATCTAGAATAATAATGTTAACATCATTGTCCCTTCAATAAACAGCAAGCAAGTTTTGGATGTAATTTTGTTTTTGCTCTGTATGTTCCATGCCACATAAAAACACAGGCAGACACAGAGATGATGTGGTATTCTTATTGTATTTAAAACAATATTTAGCAGTGTAGCTCCTATTGCCTTTTACATGTGTTTGAAGGAAAGCCCTGCTTCATCAATGGGAATGTGTCAAAATTTTGTAATAAAGTATGCTGTGTAATATATTTAAACACAGTCCAAATTAATTAAAGTGTAGTGGACATGAAAGATACATACTCAATGTGACATTTCAAATAGGGAGAAAATATGATAATGAGCTATTTCCATGTGTTGCCATCCTTCTGGTTAAATAATACTTCTGTTTTCAATGAAGCCACTGAGCAATAACATTCATTTTTGGAGTTCCACAGCGGTTAGAACTGATTGTATACAGGCTGTAATCATTATCCTAATTCTGCCCAGGAAACCCTCTCTCCCCACCATGGAGAAATTTGGAATAAAAAGTCTCGTTCCAGGAAAAAGAATTTCCAAATAATCCTGGGCACCAGATCAAAATATGAGCTCCAAATCCGTTCCTTTTTCTTAATAAGAATCAGCACTTTGAAAAATGCTGCTCTGCAAGGAAATAATTGCATTAGTCAGCCTCTTGGCACTGGCGTGGGCTGGAGCCTTCTCTTAAAATGAGGCCCAGCCTCGCCCTGCAGTGCATCCAAATCCCCCAAAGATGCAAATAGCCCCAAGACCCTTGGCTTTGTTCTTACAGGCAAAAAACTAAAACATGGGACAAAAGGACAGAAAGCGACCTGGAAACACAGTCTGTCTAATGCTGAGGCAACCTTGGGTAAGACAGGCATCTTTTGTTTGCTGAAGAGTAGAAACCAAAACAGGAACTGGAAATAAGAGATTACTGTTTCCATGCTATCCTTTCCTTCTGAAGGATCTGATCACACAGATGCAGGGTCTTTAGCTAACTGTACAGACCAAAGGACTGGTGATACATGATTATGTATTTGCCTCTTGACAGGATCATAGTGCTTATGATCAGGACAACTCCAATGCTCAGGCCCTGACAAGCACTAGCAAGATTACTTCGGTTGCTCTGTGTTGGAGAGATCTTGCATTTAGTCCAGAGAGTAAGCCTGTGTGTCTTTCATTTGAAGGATTTTTGGAATCACACCAAAATATTCCTTTTTATTAAGTCTCTGCTTATCTGGTTGTCTGATTTTCAGCGGTGAAAAGGCTGCACATCATTGGTGAGGGATGAAAGACAAACTGGACTGTTGGAACCCTGAATGGAACCTTGGACTCTTGGAACCATGCATTATTGGATATCAAAAGTGCAGTGCTGGAGCCTTGATCTACAGGAACAGAAACAAGACTTGCCTGGCACTGAGACATTAATTCTCAAAAAAAAAAAAATCGTTCTAAACTGATCAACACCCTGGAATTCACCAGGAGGTAGGTGTTGAAGTGTTTATCGTGTGCCTGTTTTGTCCTTACATTGTTTGAACTTTTGAGTCATCCACATGGCCACCACTATTTCCTTCCCAGAGCTCTTCAAACACTTTGCTTGCAACACCAGTTGTAAGCAATATAGGGCAGCCTGTAATGTAAACTATTAAGATTAGTGTCGAACAGAACGGACAGCTCATTACTTTGTTCAAAGACTACCAAGAAACAGACCTATTTCCTGCAACACAGGAAGAGTACTTCATTTCCAAGATAGTTGTATGCAAAACTTTGCATGTTAGCTCTGATGAGTTCTATTGGATACCCAGGAACGGAGTCCCTCAGTGAGGTGGATGAGCAGGGCAGGCAGCCAGTGCCCACCCCAATGCTCCTGCTAATTGTTTTGTTGGCAGTGCATTTCAGGTGCTCTATATTCTTCCCTCTTTGGGCTAATATTTTACCAACTGTTTTCTCCTATTCAGCTAAAGAACAAGAAGCAAATGCTCCTTTGTTGACTGATACTGACCTAATGGGAAAACACTATGAAGATGCAGCTTTCAGTCATCATCTGAACAGAGTAGAGGAAGGTGCTTTAACCTGTTCATTCTAAAACTAAAGACAGGAATGTGCATGTGTCAGTAGGGAAAGCATGTGACCTCACTATGCTAAATCAGAGCTTGCCAGAGCCCTCACCAACTAGTAGAGTCATGGATGGAGTCAGATTTTGTTTGCCCAAACAAGATCATCTACTCTGTGCATTAAATACCAGACAGTGCTGGGTTTTTCTGCATTTAGATTTAGCTCTTCTGCTGCTGGAGTGTTCTAGTATTGTGGTCTCAGGTGTTACAAGGTGTCTGAACAAAGAACCAACCTGCCTTGAGAATGGTTGCTTCAGAAAGAAACACAATGGGTAAAGTTCAGACCAATAGGGTCTAAGTGAGCCTTGCTGCTCTGGTATGCACCTGTCTGCCCGGCAGCCTGGAAGTGCCCAGCAAACACCCTGAGGGAAAGGAGTGCTGCTGGAAAAGGGATCGCCATGGGGTGTCTTGTCCTGAAGAAGGCAGGGTTATCCTCAGGTGAGATACACGTGCCGTGTGTTTGGGACTAGCAAGGGATAATGATAATAAACCTAATGTCTTCTGTCACCAAAAAAAGAGTAACTCAGGAAGAATGTGTAAATTAGCAGAGGCAGTGTGAGATGTTTAGGGCATTGAGGGTGTGAGAGTTTAGTACTGGTCTGAAATTTTCCACTAAGGTGTTTTTTCTGATGGGAAGATTACACAGTATTTTTAAATGGACAGAGTTTTATGTGAGAAAGACTCATCCTCACATTCAGAGAGTGCTGAGTGTGATAAGGGCATGTATGTACCTGTTCTTCCCAGTCTTCTCTTGCTTCCCAGTACCTGGGACAGGAATCTGAGGTTTAAGTGATGCATGCCCCTTTGCCTATTGCAGATCAGACACTGATAATTCACTACAGCATTTTCTGTATGTTTGTCCTCGTGAACAGGAGCTACACTGTCTCAGGCTGAATGACAGTTGGCCCTCTGGCTTTGGTAGTTCAGAGATCTCTGCTCTTTACCAAATAGAAAATTAAAAAAAAAAAAAAACTTTCTATGGAGTACTGGGAAAACTAGACTTGCTTCTGATCAGTGCAGTCACCCCTGGCAGAGGGATGGTGGGAGCTGATTGAACAGCAAGAAGAGAAGATAGTGGGTTGCAAGGCAAACCCAAGGAAGCTGTTTGATGCAGCAAATGAGGGACAACTGGTGGAATGATGCATGGAGGGAGCAGCATCCAAGAGTGAAAATAATACATCACATAGCAATGTTACTTGGAGGAAGAACAGAAGTGCCAGCTCCACAGATCAACAACTCAGACAAATTAAAAAACTAGCCCAGGAGAGGTTTAGACAGAAGCAACCCAGTTTTCTTGCATTATGCTCCCAGAGTGTGCGAGAATATCACTGAATTGAATAAGGCCCATGGGAGCACAGAAGGCAACTGTTGATAAAAACCTGTGTGAGAGAGAGATGAGGACCCAGGCAGAGCTGCTGGGTTCAGAAAAAGGAGGATTGAAGAGAGCTGCAAGGGCAGCTGCTGATTTGGACCATTCCAAACATGAGGTAGGATCAAGAGACTGTGGGGAGGGCATAAAATTGGTGAGACTGTAAGGAAATAAATCCAGCTGGGAGAGGAATGAGAATAAATAACACAGGACCTCTGGTAAGTAAGGGAGTGAGAGGACATGATATCTAGAGAACAGGCAGAAAAGACAGAAGGAGGGGGATTGCCTTTCTAATTATGGGTATCTGTAACTTTCCTGAGATATAATGGGCAGAGGATGACTAACAAATGGCTGAGTCACAGAAACCATGTGACTGAGATTCTAAATTCATCTGCTAAGGGGCTTGAATATTCACACAAAGCTTAGAAATTTTCCTCTAATACTATTCTGGTGCAGGTGATCCTAAACTGCCTATACCAAAAAAGCTTTCCAACTGCTGTTTGGAAATATCTATCTCAGTAAATTAGTCAATATTCATGTTGGCAGGCAAGTATATTACCTTATTCCTCCATTCCTGATGGAGAAAGCCACTTTTGGCCAACTAAAAAATTGTCCATTTTTATCCATAGAACCTTCTACAGGGAGCTTTATATGGAAGGTTGTTTGAGCCTTCACCATAGCAATTTGGTAAATGATGTTGCTTAGAGTCAGAACAGTGTTCTGCCAGCCTTTGTAAGACAACTTATTAACTGTCTACTACTTATAAGATTTTCAAATACTTGATGTGTCATGAAATAAGAAGAATGTGTATCCTCTGTTTCAAGGTGCTGACTAGTACTTTATTTCATGCAACATTAGTGCTGGCAGAAATTGGTAGAACCATCAAAAGAAGTTACTCACGCCTTGCACTCACCCTTGTCCTCCCATGAGACTTAGATTCAGGAACTGATGTAGGTTAAAATTATCTGTTGTCCTGGCCATCATCTGATTAATCAGGTACAATCATAGTTGTTTGAATTATTTCAGATAATATGTTTAGGAGAAAGACATAAATGTGAAATTCCACCCCCTACCCCCCTGCCCCACTGCTAAAGAATGGGATAATTTCTTTTCCTTATAGCAATTACTGAAGAAATACATTCTGATGAAAATCAGGATTAATGTCTCTCCCCAGCTGAGCTGGAGTTTCTGTGTGCACAGTTAGGGAGATTTGGATAGCAGTGAGTACTGTTACATTAATGAAGTTTCTTTCCCTTTGACTTTGCAATCTCTAGTTTACTTGAGATGAGTGAGTTGACTCGCTTCTCTCTTACATTTTTGTCATAGGGAAAGAGCAATAAAACAAGCAAGCTGGCTACTGAGGGCAAATCTAGAGCAAGCAGGCTTTTAGCCCCAGGTCTAGGACATTAGTCACATGCAAATGGGTGATGATAAATCAGTGCCACCTGGCTCACAAAGCTGCCTAGGAAATCACCAAATGAAAACATGATTTTTAAAACTAGACAGCTAATCCCCCTCAACATAAAGAAACAGTCCTGACTTCCGTGTCTAGCAATATTTTTCAGAGCAGGAGCTGGACTTTTCCACATGGTTCTCCTGGAAGTTCCAAGGAGTTACCTGACTCCTAGTCCTTCATTAAAAAGCACTCTTCTATCTCTTTTTCCTAAGAGCCAGAGAGTCTCAGCATCTGATGCCTTTATGAAACAGCAGAGAGGAAGTGGTTCTGATTGTGTTTCTTTGTAAAAAGTTTCGCTGCCACAATTCCCTGGATGGTACACAGTGCTCTGAGCTTCTGCCTGCACAATAACTGGTTTTAAACATTTCTGTTTAATCAAGAGTGAAGTAAATGTCAGAGATTCAATGTTCTAGATCAGCAGTTTCCAACACTGATACATCTTAATCAAGCAATTAGGTGCCTTTTTTTGTCATTGTTTGGTGTTTTCCGCGCTGGAGAAGGGAACAGATTTGCTGCTTTGCTCTGATGACTGCTAGCAGCAGTGTTTGTTGTTAACAGAGACATGTACACCTAACCACCAGTTGGCAGGTGTTAACACTTTGTTACTCGCTATTCCCACATGCTGAGGATTGTGGGAAAGCTGTCAAGCTCTCTGTCTTGTGTAACACTCTGCTTTTACAATAACAACAACAACATCAACAAGCTCTGAACAAATTCAGCAGCTTTGTAGGAATGCAGCGATGCAGCGCTAGCAAGGGAGACAATAGGATGGATTCTCCTGGCTTTGATGGGAGCTAATATCAGACTTTGTGGAAAGTCTGAGATACTTCCTTATCTTTGCTTGAAAGCAGGTAGATGGAAGCTGAGAGTTCTTTTTTTTTTTTTTCCCCTTCTTTCTTTTTTTAATTGGTGATATGTCTGATGTTTAGAAGAAACCAAGAATGCATTGTGTGTGCCCCAGCATTTCTAGTCTGCATCTGACATTTGTACTTGCCCATATTCAGGAAAGAAAGTCATGAATACAGCACACAAACAGAGGAAATAGCACAGAAAAGCATAGGAACGTTTGTCTTTTTTTTCCTCTTCTTTTTTTGCCTTTTTTTTCTTTTGGATGGAGGGTATGTCTATCAAGCGAGAAATGAGAATTTCTTTTAGTATACTACAACCCTTCTGGCAAGCTCAGATGTGCCAAGAAGAAAAGGTCCTGTGTGAGTCTTAAGTATTATTAAAATACTTCTTTTTCTCTGTTCCTTGCTGTCATCCAGGTGCTCAAACATAGCCTGCCTTTGCAGCTACAAACTCATGGTTTTATAGCTGAGTAATCCAAAGAATTGATTTATTACTGAAGAAGTGAGGTTTGATGGATTTTTGATTTACATGAAGACAGTTAAAAAGAAGGAGTGGGAGTTGCAGGGTAGCTGCAGCTGGAGTACAAGATAGAAACTCAAAAGAGCAAGTGGGCCAAAGAGCGCAATGGATTAGATGAGCAACCAGTTTATATGGCTGGTTTGAATAGTGCTGCACTGCATAACTGTATCCCTTCTTC